TTTACGTTTATTGTAAGCCGCCAGAGTCACCCACTGGGAGAGATGGGCGGCAAACAAATTAAATAAATAAACAAATAAACAAACAAACAAACAAATAAATAGGGCTCCCTATGAAAACTTCTCAAAAGCCCCCATTATTCCAAAATGTGGCAGTTTCTTTGCTATTTAGAAGTATCAGGTTTAGCAGCATAATACCTATACTCCGATCCCTGTATGGATACCAGTTTGCTTTGAGGTCTAATTCACACTGCTGGTTATTGTTTTTAAAGCCGGCTTAGCAACCAGTTATCTACAGGACCGTCTGTCCCATCCAACTAGGCCTACTTTGTATAATCTTTAAGGGAAGAAATGTTCAAGGTACTAGACTGCCCTAGTTAATTAGGCTGTCAATGGTTATAATTATTTTTTATTGTATGGTACTGTAAACTACCTTGAATCTTTTGGGAAATTAGTGGTGCATAAATCATTGTTTAAATAAATGAATAAAGGCAGATATAAGTGGCTGTTCAGGTATTCAGTTCCCCAAAAGTAAGAACTAGCACATTAAATCATGTCTGACAATGGCCTAGATGCCAGTGCAATTGTTTGAACACTACTGAGATACATTTCTACTGTCCAGTTCCAGATAGCAACTTCCAGGTATGTTTGGATATAACTGCAATTTCCATAGTGTCTAAAGGCAGGTCCCCATACAATATACTTAGAACTTTTGTATTTGGAGAGAAAATGGATGATCACATGTAGGTATGAACATCATGGAACTGTGGAAATCAGGAAAATATTAATAATACATGTTGAACTTTATAGCTTTCAGGATATCTACTCAATGAAAGCTATAAAGTTCAACATGCGTTGTTAGTATTTTTCAGGATGTTTGTACTATTCACAAAGGATTGTTATACTGACAAATGTATATATACTTTGTAAAATTTGTTATTGCTATATTTTTGTGTTGCTGGATAAGTAGCATTTAATAGGAAATAGGATCACCATACACTGCTCATTTTATTTACTGTATTTAAAACATTTATGTAGCCGCCCATTTTGTACCAAACTCTGGGTGGCTCACAATCAAAGATAAAACAACATCTATGTACAATAAAAATACTAAAACTATAAGTATTAAAACCAGAACAAATCTGGCACCATAGCTAACTTTCACATGCAGCCCACAAGAAGTTCACCCCATTTTGGGAGAAAAGCTAGGTCAAGTGCTTTTCGGAAGGTTAAAAGGGTGGGGGCCTGCCGAATGTCAGGGGGAAGGGTGTTCCATAGAGCAAGGGCTGCCACGAAAAAAGCACATTCCCTAGATCTCATAAGATGGCAACATTTAAAAGAGGGGGCTAGGAGAGTGTCCACCCAGTCCAGTCTGATAAGACGGGCAGATGTCCTTAGGGAGAGATGGTCACACAGATAACCTGGTCCCATGCCACATAGGGCTTTAAAGGTAATAACCAGCCCCTTGAATTGCACCCAGAAGAAACTGGGAGCCAGCGCAGCTCACGCAACAGAGGGTGTAATGTGAGTAAACCTAGGGGTACCCATCATGCTCACACCACTGCATTCTGGACCAGTGCTCATAATAGTTATGGTAGGCTTGCTGTGAACTGACACATTCAAGGGTCTCTCTTAGTTTCCAGTTACATGATTTTTTTTTCAAAATCTCAGAGCAGTTTATATAACAGAATTAGATGGTAAAGCTTTTGAGGATGGAATTGTATGGTATCCCCTCTCCTTACCATTGGAGGCAGATTATTTAACTGTGTGCTATTGGTTTGATTTGAGATATTTCAGTAGTTTTCAAACTGCTCTGGAAAATTTGAAATTCCTTTCCTGGAAGTCAGAATCTTCAGTTATGTTTTATTCTTTCCAAACCAATGTAATATTGGAAATATATAAAGGGGGCTCAGTACACTAACTGTATGAAAACTTGATAGAACTGGGACAACATTTGGTATGAGGAGAGAAGTCAGCAAAAGAAATCTTGTCTTAAAATGGGTTGGATCAGACTTAGGGTTGCAAAAAACTTTTCCTCCCTAATATATCCCTACTGGAGAGCAGTTAGGCAGTGGTTTGGATTTACTGTATTTGTTTGCAACAAATCCATAATTTGGATCAAAATAATACATAATGGTCAATATTAAAAACCAGAAGCACATTATAAATTATCCTATGCACTGGGAGTCATATGTTCTGCAAAATATAAATAAAATGGTTGCTCATCCAGAGTAGCAGTCAAAACAGACTTGCCCACAAAGGTTGATAAAATAACCAAGTCTTCACTGATTATCTGAACATTTTCTGAAGATCAGGAAAGAGGGAGCAACCTGAATGTCTGTGGTGATACTATTTAAGAAGAGAGGGGCAGTGACTGAAAAAGCATGCTTTCATGGTCCCTGTAAGTGACAGTCTCTGATCAAGAGGACATGTTAAGAGCTTGCCCTACTAGATCTTATCAGGTGGGCAGATGTTAAAGTAGTCTAGCAGATATCTAGGACCTGTATCATGAAGGGGTTTAAAAGTGAAAAACAGAATCTCGAATTGCATCTGGAAGTTAAATGGCAACCAGTGCAGCTCTCAATGTAGAGATCCTCACCTCAAGGACTGCACATGACCACTTGGGCTGCCATATTCTAAGCCAGCTGTAACTTCCAAATATTCTTCAAAGGCAGCCCCGTGTAGAGTGCATTGCAGTAGTCTAGTCGAGAGATGACCAAGGCCTGAGTGACAGTGAATAATGCCTCTTGTTCCAGGAAAGGTTGCAGTTGGTGAACAAGATGGAGCTGTGCAGCTGCCAAGTATGACCTGTAAGTCCAAGAGGACGCCTGAATTGTGAGCCAGTTTTACTTGAGGAAGTGCAACTCTGTTCAGAATTAAAGGTGATATCGCTCTGGAATTGGCAGGTCTTCAAACCCGGAGCCACTCCGTCTTTCTGGGTTTGAGTCTCAGCCTGTTTTTCCCCATCCACAATGGACAGCCTCCAGGCACTTAAACAGGACTTTAATTGCATCAATTGTTTGGTCAGGGGTCAAGATACAAATCTGAGTTTCATCAGTATACTGATGAAACTTGACTCCATGGTGACAGTTGATCTTGCCCAGTGGCTTCATGCTGAATAGGAGCAGGGAAAATTACAAGCCCTGTGGCACCCCACAAGTGAAGGTCTCTTCCTTCCCATCTCTTTAGGAAGGAGGAGAATTACTGCAAAACAGTGATACCCACCCTCCAACCCAGAAGGATATTAAGGTAAACGGTATAGAAAGCTGATGAGAGATCAGGAAGGTTGCACTACTTCTATCCAAGCCCCTTCAGAGATCATCCATAAATGCAAACAGTGCTTTCTCTGTGTTGTACTCAGACCTGAAACCTGACTGAAATGGGTCCAGATAAGTCATTTCTCCCAAGGCTTACTGAATATACAAAACCTCCCCCAAAGAGAAAGTTGGAGACAGGTTGATAATTGTACATCACTAGGTTGAGCTATGGTTTCTTGAGGAGGGAGTGCATCACCACTTTTTCAGAGAGGACAGCAGCACTGCCTTCTCAGGGATGCATTTACCACCACTCTGGCCCAGCTTCCTGTCATCTCCCTTTCACCAACCAGGATGGGGAGCGCTTCAGACTACAAGTGACTGAGCAAATGCTGCAGAGAACCCCATGCACTTCTTCATGAGTTATAAAATCAGACCCATTCCAGAGAAACTCACAGAATGAAATTTCATCCAATGTTGGCAACTGCTTCATTCTAAGCCCCCTCCCTCCTCCCTCCCAGTCATATATGCCAACTTGCCCTGTGCTTCTCAGTGCACAGATACTGGCAAACACAGATGGTGCATGAGGGGAGAACAGAAATATGCACATACATAACGCACAGATGCAACATGTTACTTGGTTACATAGAAGAAAGTACAGATGCCTCCTGTGACTACTGCAGGTAAATAGGGTTGAAAAGAATTTCAGAAGCCATGTTCTGAATGCTTTTTCTACTTTATTTGAAACAATATAATCTGCTTCAGACATTAAGGATATTTGAAAGTCAGCCTGCACATCACTACTGCTTTTTAGCTTGCGATGTTGAATGTATCCCTGGGCACAGTTTGAGTTCAGGAAGTGCAACAATGCCAGTGGACCTAGCCAGTTGCTCACATGAACAGTGTGGGTCCTGGAACATGTTCTAGAAACTTCTGCAGCTTTCTGTGAAAAATGCTTTCTGAAATTAGGAAGTTTGCATCTACCACAGTAAGCTGATACATGATTCTAACAGGCTGATAAAAAAAACCTGCTTCAAGAATCATATAAAGCTTGGCTAGTGGCCAGGGGAATGTGTTGTCAAGGGCCTTATACAGTATTTGCATTTATTGCCCAGTGCACTTGCCATTTCTCTAAGAACTCTTGTATGCAAACAAATGAATATCATAGCAGCTCTTTTTTTTTTTTAAAGTGCTGCTTCAAGCTGATGCAGAAATGGCCAAATATCAAGTGGAATGAGATGCTTCATGAAGAACTTTTCAAAAACATATTAGTTAACATGGGCTGTATTTGCTAAAAGACACCACTGTAGCCCTCATCTGTTGTCTTGACTGTCCTGTCCTTGGGCTGCTTTTCTAAGAGATTTGAGATACAATAGCCAGTATAAGAATAGGAAATAATCAATACAAGCAATATTACAAAACACAATAAAAAATAATCTATTTTATTACTTGTACATAAAGTCTCAGTTGATGTGGTAGGTTGCTGTTCTGGGATGATGCACCTTCATACAAAGCTGAAAATTCTGCCCTAGAGATAGAAGTTTATAAAACCAGAAGCCTAGCTACAGTTACGGCAAAAGCCTTTGACACAATATATTTTGGTTTATGACTACTTTGTTCAGGAAAGCTAAAAATATAAACAAACTGGCTACTTCAGAAGAAAACCTTATTCTTGATATGGCCAGAAATGTGTAAAAGAAAAGTTGTTATCTGTTGTGGTTTATCAGTTCTGATTTGGAGTCTCTGTTCATGTCATGATCTCACAGAAGATATCTGGTAAGTAAGATGCAGATATTGCAGCCTGAAGTGTGATTGGTTCAGTTGGGATAAAAATGCTTTCTGAACTGTTTCCAAATATAACTGGTGGAAAAGATGAATAAGTTGGAAACTGACTTTTAAAAATAGAAAGTGTTCTTAAATAACTGCATTTTCCTGTATAAATGTCTGATTGCCGAGGATGTTTCTTTTCATAACTTTGAACTTCAGATACTAATAAGTTAGAGAGATAATGTTTCATTCTGAAGCTACAAAACGGAAATTTGGGGGAAATTGAAACACATGCAAGACTTATTTTTAGCATTCTTTACAGATATGAATAAAAGTTGCTGCTGCCAGTGTGTACCCCACTCCTGGAGTTTTGAGAGAAGGATATAAACTGAGCCATCAACTTCTAGATCAAAAGTCAATAAGAACCAAACATATGAGCAAAATGGGCTTTCTGAAATTCTTTGAAAAATAAATATATTTTTTCTTGATTAGTTGCACTGATTATTTATCCTCTAGATACAGGAATTGTAAAGTTCTGATTGTAATAGTCTTTCATAAAAATATTTCTACACTACACAGCTTTTAGAAATCATTTTGGGAAGTAAAGGCTGGGTAGCAGTATATGACCATTTTATATATATAGATGCATTTACATACAAACACATATCCCTTTCAGGACAAGCAAATCATGTGAAGCTTGGAAAAGGAATAAGAAATAGCAAACAAAAGAAATTAAAAACATGAGATAAGAGGAAAAAAGAGCTATAGCTAAATCTGTATGGTAAATGATATATAACATGATTGTTAGGATATAATAAAAAAAATTTTTGCAATTTTTTGGAAAATACATTTTGAAAGACCTGGGGAGGAATTCCTTAATTAATTTTTCTGAGGGTTTTTTTCCCCCAACGTACCATTTCATCTTTAGAGAGAGAAATTATGTTTGTGCAGCCAGTTTGGAATAGACTCCTTAGATAGATCTATGGGGCACTTGTATTTAGGCATGTGCAGTTCTTTTTTCATATTCTTTCTGGAATATGCTGAACTGGGGATGGCCAGAAAGTTTTCTGGAACTAAATTTTCCAGAGCAGGAGGTGCTGGATATGGTCTCATATCTGAAACGCCACAAAACATCTGGAAGACTGTTGGACATATTGGTTCAGAAGTGCAACTTGTAGCTTTTGCTCTACACTTGAATTACTAAACATGGCACTCAGAGGCCTTTTCAAGCCCTTTGGGTTTCCATGATGCAGCATATTTTTCATACTCTGTGAAAAAATCATCATTACTAAAATAAAGGGACTGAGTACTACTGTGTATTCCACCACTACTTTACGTCTGTACTTATTCCACATGTATTTGGGATGGCAATATATGTTTATATTACTGCCAAATAAAATATCATCTTGAAGGCGGAATTCTAACACAGCAAGGAATTCTGAACTTGTTGGTCCAGCACTCTGACTCAGTATCATTTATAGTTATGGGATTCCTATACATTATGCTTTTCTGTTCTTTTATCCAGATGATCAAGAACAAGTAACTGCCAAAGCTGTCTATCCAGTTAATTCCACAATGAAATCAGTAACATCAGAAGTAGAATTGATTGGCCTTGAATAAAAGCAGAAATGACAGTTAGTGGTGAACATTCCCTCTAGCCCATTAGAAGGAGTATGAAAACCTTAGTAGATGACCCAGGTTGGTGTTTGGTTTTAAGATGGGTGGGAGCTCTCTTTCAGCCTTTTATGAGTGAATATCATATTGGTATTCTGACAGTTCTGTGGCATTGTTGGTGCAAAGTTAAGAAATAGGGTGCACAATTTTTTTGTGTGTTTTTTCCTGGTGTACCTCATTTTAAAGCAGACAGCCATGTTAATGGAAGTGTAAGAAAGATTATACTGTACAAAATGCAGCCTTGAGGCTTTCCACATGCTTTTAAAATATACAGTCATCTAAGCAATTATACAAGTTTAACTTTCTCGGTGCTTAGTTAATATAGGCAATAGAGTATTTCAGGCTGTGAATGAACCTCGTAGACCAATTTTCTGGTACAATATGGTTTCTAGCTTTTGAATGAAATGCATTGCTTCTTCTTTGTTTACCCCTTTGTTTTCATTTTTCTGTTCTTTTCCTTTGTCATTCATTCTGCTTTCCCTTTCTCTGTTTCTTTAGGAAACATGCCTTGAATTGCCACCGAATGAAACCTGCTCTTTTCAGTGTGCTATGTGATATTAAAGAAAAAACAGGTTTGTTGGCATTTTCATTTATTTTTTTCTTGAAAATGTAACAGTTCCAGCTAATGAACTGGATAAATATAGTTGATATACAACAGTTCTCTTGCTCCTTAAGCTGATATTTGAAACATGGTCATGGAATTAATTAGGACTTTAGCAGCCTAAATCTCGGTATAGGATTCTTTCCTAAATTATTAGTAAACTGAATATTTTCAGGCTACAAAGTATTGTGCAACGTTGTGCAATAGTTTGTGTTTGGTTTTGAACAAAATACTAAGGTTCAGAAAAAGACTTTTGTTTCTCTTGCCATTTTAAAATAACCACAAACAGGTACCTAGTATATTTTCCTCAGTCAAGAAATCAGACTGGCATCAACCTGCATTTACTGTTCCTCTCTCCATGCTAACTTTATTAATGGCATTTATTTAAGATCACCCACTGTTATCAGCTGTACACTGACAAGTGATGTTCAATCACTTTTTTCAATATTTTACTTTGTTATATTAAACCTTTTGTGTTTTTTCTTCTCTTGATTGAATTTGAATTCAGTATGAAGATTGTTATATGTAAAACTAACCTTTTTACAGACAAACCTAATTTTATGGGATAAACAACTTGTTGAACACCAAAGGCCACAATGGAAATGTCTTGCTCTAGAGAGCTGTATGGCTAATTTGTATAATTTAATTTCTGTATAATGAATATAATTTGCATATCATTCATATTAACACAGTCACCATGATAATGGCAGGTGATGCCTTTTATGCTGTGTCTGGCATAAAATCGTTTAGCAGTCTCAGGTGACACGACATAAAGATCTGTAAATAGCAGATAATGTTGGCTGTCATTTGGGCTGGAGGGCTTCTAAAATTCATATGAATGACATATCTCACACACTGCTTTTCTCTTTTCAGTGAATAATTCACGTGTGCTTGCAAATAAGTTACATGAAGGTTTTTAGCCTGTCCTTCATCCCAGAGAATGGTTTAAGTAATGAGTAGCTGCTTACCTGGAATGAATGCTTAGTTAACTGAGAGTTATAGCTAGTGGTTAGATTATCTTCTGGCCATATGGAATTAACACATGAATTAGTTACTTTTGTGGACCAAATATAAAAGAGGACAGGGCTTCTCTACTTCTAATAATTACATAGAACAAGGAAAATTGTCATACAGGAATGAAAAAAGTTGCCTGTTCTGAAACCCCCTTCTGAATAACTGTTCATATAAATCTTCTCTTTCTTTGCTTATTCTAGAATGAGCACTTGGGGTGGCTCCACATGGGGCATCTCTGACATTTCTGAGTCAGCCCTGTACCTTTCTGAACTCAGTGTTTCTCTTTGGCATCCAAACTAATTTATTTCTGGCTGAGTGGTGGCTCTACAGAACTATACTTAACCCAAATTTCCAAGAGATGTTCAAGATCTCATTGGAACTTGGAGGTAGGCTGTTCTTCCATGAGTGGAAACTTGCTTCATTCTGCTTTCTGGATTTTCCTCCTTTCTCACAGAAATTAAGTTGTGGTGGTTTCATGGTATTGCTTCTCTACAGGTTTAATAAATGCAGCAGAGGAATGACATCCTGCTGGCAAGGTCCCTTGCCAGTTTTGTAGGTCCCCCTCCTAGTTATGAATATAGATGTTTTGAATGTCAAACAGAAAACACCATAACTAGAGATGTAGCTTTGGTTAAATGCTTTTCTTTGTTTCCTCCTATTAATCAGTTGGAAGGGCACTGATTGCCTTATGTGCTATTCTCTGTGTTTCAGAGCATTGGTGGTAAGAATTACCACAGTTAATTGAAACCATTTCTAAGGATTTGGTGAGCAAAAAGAATGGGTGTGTGATAGGGATATTAGTATCGTAATAGCTGCACAAGAGTATTATTGAGTCCTTTCTCAGTGGGATTTGCATGGGATATTTTTGTGACGGATTGTAACTTTTACACCACATTCATTTATTTCTCGTTCTAATGATAATGCTCAGAATAAGTGGTTTCAAAGGAATTGCCCCACTTTTGTCTTAAATCCACAAACATTCTTTTTATCACATAACTCTAAGCATCGTTTTACATTTCTCTTTTACACCACATTCATTTATTTCTCGTTCTAATGATAATGCTCAGAATAAGTGGTTTCAAAGGAATTGCCCCACTTTTGTCTTAAATCCACAAACATTCTTTTTATCACATAACTCTAAGCATCGTTTTACATTTCTTACCTTTCCACATGAAACACATATGACCTTTAAGTGTTCAAAGTGATACGTGAATTTCAATAATCCTAATACTGTGTAAAATAAACATATAATTATCCCTATATAAACTAGTACCTTACCTGAAACTCTTACCTCACAATTGAGATAAGATTTTACAGGAGATAGCTCATTCTTCTAAATGGGAAATAAGTAGCTAAGAACTGAGGAGTGGTATAACATATAATTATCCCTATATAAACTAGTACCTTACCTGAAACTCTTACCTCACAATTGAGATAAGATTTTACAGGAGATAGCTCATTCTTCTAAATGGGAAATAAGTAGCTAAGAACTGAGGAGTGGTATAATAGTGGCTTTTTTTTCTGTGATCAATATACTCATCTTTCTATCTGCTAGCTCATTTTACAGGTATTTTTAAAAAAAGGTTTTTCATAACTTGGTAAACCAGGGATTGTCAGGTTGTGCTGCTGGACCACATGTAACCCTGTCAAAACTTGCTTTGGGTTTTGCTCCTTGTTTTGCCTGGGCCAAGTTGCAGTGGGCAGTTGCTGTATCACAAAGTTTGAGAACCTCTGTGATGCATAGA